CAGAGGAGGGTGGGGAGAGATCGGGAGAGTCGGTCGAAACGCGATAAGTTAAGCGGTTCACGTAGTCGCCGGTAATTATGGATGCGTTTAAGCCGTGGCAGTTTGGGAAACTAAATAAAATAATATACGTGAGCCGAGGTTTTTATTGCCGGATTAAGGGCGCCCTGCGCGTCGCTGCGTGTCACAGTCTTATCCGTCTGCTCGATCTCGTCTTCCAGACCAGAAAAAAAAAAGAAACAACAAAGATGGAAAATAAAAGAAAAAAGAAGAGGTATATGTTTCTGTGGTCATCGCCTCTAGACACGAGGAATATTTAATAGAAGGTGCGAGATGAGCGCAATGTCGACAACTTTGGTTTAAATACTTCCGGATATATACCTTGCTATACTCGAGGAGTACCGAGCATCGTCGCAGTTCCATTTTACGAAACGTGCAGTTTATGCGACCGATTCTCGGAACGACTTTTTCCATTCGTCGAATGACGATTTCGTTAGAAATAATTCGCGTTGCGGCTAATAACGGGGAAACACGTTCGACGAACGAGCGTCGCGGCTCTTCTCACAATCGGCGACAGTGACCAAAGTGCGTGTTCGAGAGCACGTGAAGCGAGCGTTACGAGGCATTGGCAATTTATCGCGATACCTCTCTTCTTTCGTTCGCTCTTTCTCCCTTCCCGTTTCATCTCTCTTCTCTGTTCGCTTTGCGCCAGTTGGAGAGCTACTCCTCCGGCATTGCAAAAGGAGCTACGAGAGCGGTGCGACCGCAGCAACGCCAGGTTATTATAAAACAAAAGACGATGCTTGATGCCGATAATAAAGAAGAGGTACGCGCTCTCTGAACAACGCTGCAAGGTGGGACAAAGAGGGTGACGATCGAGACCGAGGAGGGAAAGGACGAAGGAAAAGCGATATTCTCGAAGGTAGCGGGCGCGAAGGATGTGGTTCCACGCACCGCGATCGACTTAATTCGCGCGCTCCCAACTCTTTTTCCTCCCAGTGGCCTCTCTTCCCCTCCGGTTAGGTTGGACGTTCTCCTCCGACTTTCACCTCCCCCTCGCGGCTTTCTTATTTAGTACCCCCGTTGCTCCTCTCTCTCTTTCTCTTTCTTTCTCACTCTCACTCTTGCTTATTTTCTCTGTCCGTTTCTCGTTGCTGACCACCTCTCCAGAGCTCCTCCATCACGGCTGGCAGCCCGCTTACCGCCAATCATCATTTTCAATTCTCCGTGGTGGAGCGCCTCTCTTCGGAGCGCGTCGTTCTGTTCGTAATCCCCTTCTTCTCTCCTCCTGTCCGTGAATACGTAGTCTGTAAAAAAAACGTTGGGAATATTATTCCAGAGATCCAGAGAAACGACAGGGGCAGGAGGGAGGGAGGTTCAGGGGGCACAACATTCGCCGCGTGCCACGATGTAACGTCGGGATCAACACGTTTCTCCATTTTGTTAACGTTTGGGAGGAACGGACGTGAACGGAGCAGAGTCTAAACTGTGGGCGGGATGCCAAAGCTCGGGTACCATACGATCCCGCTGGCTGGAACAGGTCACCGAGATATCACTGATTTAGGTGTTTTTCTTTTTTCTTTTTCTTTTTTCTTTTTTTCGAGGACAAGTGCTTTCTCTTTGATTGTGCCTTCTTAATCTGTTTAATGGCGAAGTAACTCAACGGAAGGCCCAAATAAACGACGCTCTTTTAATTCCTCTCTTTGCTTCTTTCTGCGCGCCTTTTAAATTTCCAGAACCAGCAGCGTACGTAAGCGCGACGGGTTCGCAGTTTCGCCGGCTCGTGTTTTCTCGTAACAATTACCCGAAACGCGTTCCGCGAACGTTTTATCGTTGCCTGGACTCGTAGCCCTGTTCGGGATACAGGTATCAGTTGGACGTTTCGCGTACGTGTAACAACCCGGTTTCACGTGCACGATCGTTAGACTGTATAAAGAGATTCTGTGAAACGGGTGGAAACAAACGAACCTTTCATACGTTCAGGAATAATGAGCAGAGAGGGACTTGCTTGACAGAGTTGGAATCCGTGAAACGTTTAAGACCATCTTCAAAGGGGCATCAATCCGCCTTCTCTCGTGCCATTACTCTCACAAGAAAAATAGGTGTATCCTTGTACCTTCGTCTTGTTGCCCTGCTATATATTATTATTATTATCTTTCTACGCATTCGTCATTTCAAACCCACTGACCACCGATGTAAATCCAACTTCTCGAAATTCAATTAATCCATTTGCCAATCGGAGCGTTTAAAAAACACTTTAAACAGTGAGCTCATGACCGAATGAAATCCCCGCGTAGCTGATTTATCGCCTAAATCAAGACGACGTTACTAATACACTGGCGAGCCTTTGGACTCCACCCTGAGGAACCAGGGCTCACGAGAGCGAGAAGAGCCGAGCGTATCGCAACGCCTGGCATGCACCGTCGCGCGCGATTTCTCTGTAAGATTGGTCTCCTTATGCCCGGTTCACACTTGCAACGGAGACACAAAGTCACTCACCATTGGCGGATCCTGCGCGACTGTTGTTCGTCACACGGCTGCCCTCTCTCTCTCTCTCTCTCTCTTTCTTCCTTTATTCCGCGGCTCGTTCCGCGCGCCACAGACCAGTTTCTCTCCTTCTAGCTTCGGTTAAAGGACTTTTAAGAGAGTAAGGTACTCCGCTCCTTAGCTTCCAGCCGTTTGCGAGTTGGTCGCTCGGATGGTTCGATGGTTCACCGGTTGGTTGAACGACCTAGCCCGGATCCGCAGGCTCGTCCATACCGATCGTCTCCTTCTCCGGTTCTGACCGGGCTCATGCCCATAAATACGCGCGCTGTACGTAACGCTGTCTCCTTTCGATATGTTTTAACGCCCGGGACTGGTAACCGGCGCCGTGGTACACACGCAGCGCCCACCTTTCAAACCGTGGACGCGTTTCGTCGATGCCTGGATAATCGTTGCGTTGGACCCCGATCCGACAGATCCCACACCGAACACCACGGAATCACTTCGTGAAACGCGAGCGATGGCCCGCGGATGGATTGTGATCTGTTCTTTTATTCCATGTTGCCGAACGAATCGTAGAAACGTGAAGGATCTATCGAAGGACAATGCCGATTGAAAGTTCGATCGTTGATCTTCAATTAATGGTAAAGACTTAGTCGGTATTAGAGCGGAGAAGTTTAACGTGAAAAACTTTCCTGCAAATTGGTTTATCTTGGTTCGTCAAGGATCAACGTTGTGTTAACATTTCATCTGCAATCTATTTTAATCAAGTTCTTCTTTGTCTTTCTTCATATACTGTCGACATTATACTTAAATTCCATGTGTGGTTTGATGAACTTTGGAGATATTTACTTGTAATATTTTATGGAACATGTATTATTCCAATACATTTCTTGTATAATAATCTTGAATAATACTCGCAAGTTATTTAAATTTTACCAAATTTCACGTATTAATTTACCGTCAGATCATTACTGGGTTAATCTCCTTCCGTAGCGGTAGGGACACAGGAAATCAATGTCTGAAAATTACTACTACCATCGTAGCTTTGTCAGTGCTAATATTTGGAATACGTCAGAGTTTAATTTGGACAAGGAAAGTTTTGCAAAGCCGTAAAATCGGTAGTTTAAACGTAGGAGTGGTATACGCGGTACGTGTATGCAATGCGAATTTGTGCACGCACCGCGAATAAATGGGCTCGAAGTCATTTCGCCAGTGTCCACCATTTTTCACTGACGAATTAACTTTCGCGATCGACGATCTCAGATTAATTTGCTTTCACGTTTCATTCTGCAATAACGTATTCCACGCTCAATTGCCACATCTGTCGTCATAAATAATGATTCGAATCCCTCGAGTATAT